AAAAAAAAAGTTTCGATTCACAACTTACTCTATAATTTGCTCATGTGAAGGAAACGGCGTCTGTGGATATTCTAGGGAGAGGAAGTCGTGAGTCGCCTTTGTTATCGCCAACCACTCTTCGTCATAGCTAAATTCCAAAGGTCCATTGGCATCAGGGAAATCCAAAACCTATTAAAGTATTAAATACTAATTAGTATCATAAAAATAAGCGATTTTTGGAAAATCTTTAAAAAAAAAAAAACCTGCAGAAAGTTTCGCCCCGGTAAACATTTATCGAGCGCTAAAAAACGAGTGCAAGAAGGATGAGCGGATATCGATGTCGACGAACTCGCGACAGATTCTCGCGTATGATGATTGTGACTTGACGGAGCTCCTTCAGAACTATTTTTAAATTCAAGATCAATCGGTGATTCCTTAGGGATGTTATTAACTTTCGATGAAACGGCTATCTCTTCTCGATTATTAATATCCTCTTAAAGTGACATAGGTACCTTGTTTAAATTATTAACATCCGAGTCAAGTGATTTAGCTATCTTCTCTGAATCTTTCGTATCTTCTGAAATACTAATATCCTCATCAATCGATTCAAGTGCTTCATTTGAATTATCAATGTCAGGCGACATGATTATTTCGTCTGGATTGTTGACCGTGGTACATTTGTTCTGTTCAGGCGCCTCATTTAAATCATTGATGTCAAGCGACATGATTATTTCGTCTGGATTGTCGACCGTGGTGCATTTGTCCAGATCAATGTTAATCTCATCTGGGTTATTATTGAACTTTTTTGTTTCTGATCTACTCAACCTTCCCTCAGAATCATGATATACGACAGCTGCAAACTTTACGTGCATATGCGAGGAAAACCAATATCTCGGTTTTAACTTTGACAATAAAATTTTACCCGGGGGACACCCCAGTCTATTCGTTTCGAGCTGTAGATATAGGTTTACGTTTAACAACACTTTGGGATCATTTGGAAAGACGAGGTTTAGTCGAGGTTTTACTCGCGAATACTTACGTCTTTCCTGAAATAAGGTTTTATCCTAAGAAGACTTTGTTCGTCTCCAAATTTAGTGATACCTTCGGGCCAATCATGAGACATGAAGATATCAATAGGTTTCCTGATCTATTTGCGTTCAAACGCGGTGCATTTGCGTTAAAGTCGTGAAACATCAAAGACGAAAATCTCTATTGAGCAATTTACATGCCTGAGAAAGTCTATAAATATCATATTGCCTAACGTGATAAATGCTCCGAATGGTAGCTTCACTGTATGGCATTTTCTCGTAATTGCCTAACATAAATCTCTTGGTAAATACCCTTGATTGAAAATGGATAAATGTGAGAAACTTTGAAAAAAATGTTACACCTTTTTTGTAATCTGCAAAATTATATATTCCGCTGATTCCCCCTATCCTGAGGCCTCCAAAATTTATAACCCCCGTACGGCCAAGGAAGTAAATATTTTCACAAACCCATCCCCCATGGTACCTAAAATTTACAGCATTACCGATCGTTAGATCGACAATTGTTTTATTCCAATTATTTTCCAGATGCATGGTGCTTACAATTCCCATAAATAATTACTGGCTTCATGGTTTCCTCCAACAAACACAGTCGGACAGTGTGCCTTCGCTTCACCAGAGTAATATTTATAAAAGGATCCCAATTCTTTATATTTATCAGGTACATTCATACATTTTAAATCGGCAGTGTTTCGTGTCGTCTGAGGACATTTACAAGGCAATTAACCACAAATTGGGTCTTTTAGTGGAGACACTTCTTTCTCGAGTTTTACCTGAAAGTCTCCGCAGATCAACAGCAGATCAATTTTTATCTGTTTTTCTTTCTCAATATAATCTATTGTCTGATAAATTAAATCCAATTTGTTGTGGCAACAACCTTCGAC